AATATTCGAGCATTCCATAAAATTCCATTCTAAATGATTGTTTTCGTGTTTTGTGTGCATACACAAATGGATATACTCGTATGTATTTTTGGTTGTTTGTGGTCTCACATGATTTAATGGCTTTTCTTTTCTTATATTTTGCAATAAAAATTGCTAAGCTCTTTCCACACACATGCACAATTTTTTGTTTGTTATGGTTGCTGCTGGCTGGCTGGCTGGCTGGCGGTGATCATTGTTTGCTTTGTAAATTATGAAGTAGCCTCCGCGTTATGGCCCTCAAAAATTCACACTTTCTTTTAGCTTTTGCTTGGAATATTATTTTTAGAACATGTTTCTTCGCGTAAATAAAGCGACGAGTGCAAATCAAATAATACAGAAAGAAAACATTGTTTAAGCGCTCTTCACATTTATTTTTTGTAGTTTGTATATCGAATATTTTATGGCCCCCGGGGCCACGGCACTGACCAAAAACCACATGAAAATTTCTTGGCCATGAAAAGCAACGCCAAGTGCATTTGGCCATCATTGAAATATGTACATAGATCGCTGCAAGCGAATGACGACATAAGAAATCTTTGGATACTGCGGATAAACATCCATCTAATGGTACATTCACTTCTGCTGGCAATGATCTCATTTTTTGCAAATTGGATTCTTCCCACGCTCAGCAACCACAACATGATTTTTATATGCCAAAGATTACATCAAAATCGAACCAAATAAATTTTGCCATTGGGTTAGATCATGTCCAAACTCTTTTGGAGGTGACATCAATGGATGGTCTCAACGGAAATGGGTTACCACAATAGTTTATTGATAGCCAATCCATTTGGGCGATGACCACAACCGATTGATCATCTAATCGCAACTATAACTCCACTTATCGGGTGCCATTATCGGGGCAATCACGAAAAGAAATACTCGTAATATGTCAGTATGTATTTGTCGAGCACTCGTGGCTTTGCCGTTTGGCCTTTAGATAACCCATTGTCTGAAGCGGAAAAGGGTCCGTGTCCATCCCCCCCAAACACATCGACATCTGTACATAGTGTCTGGCACGAGTACGGCTGATTGCAGTGCAGTTCCCGCTGCAGAAATCGTTTTGATTCTGGGCTATTTTTAACCGATTAGCTCAGTGGAGGAGTACTCCGACTTGCTATTTGTTATTCGATATTTATGTTTGGTACTCGATCCGATGGCTGTTTACAGCGGGCTGACACTCCACACTCTCCACACTCTGCAATCTTTCAATTGTTTACAGCACGTTTCTCAATTATGTCGAATGAATAATTAATGCGCACATTTGCTTAGCCATTAGCCCATTAATGCACTTTTCCACCACATTTATTCATTATTATTCATTGGCGTAGTTCCGCAACGAAAGCGCACACTCATTCGCGATTCGCGATTCGCAATTCTCATTGTCGATTCAATGCGCCGCTCAGTGTGAGAATTGGGTGTGCGGCTAGTGCAGGTAATTTTCCTAATTGATTTCTCCATGTATTTCTGAGACGAGATGCGCCACCTGACATTGATTGAAATTTGTAATGGTACGGTGATGGATGACAGCAAATAAAAAGAAGCTTGACAGACTGTTTTATCCATTCGGATAAGTGTTTTGATCTTACGGATAAGCTTTTAAAAAACTAATTTGAAAGTGTAGATATATTCTTTTGGTTGTTTAATATCATATAAAATAAAAAATAAAGCATTTGGACAAAAAAACATTTACTGCTAAGCCACACTGTGAGAGAGGAATAGAGGGAAAGATGGAGGGTGCGACACGGAAGAGTCGACCACTTCTAGGGAATTTTTTTCTTCATTCTGGCCATAAATATCAGCTTATAATTTGTATGAGAGATCTATGGAGAATACCCAGACACTTTGTAGGCACATCTACAAGGGGTAGATTAATTAAATCTAAGAAAAATAACCATATAAATGTTAAAACCTCATCAATGTAATCCGTAAAGTCCCTTCGTCAGAATGATGAGTTTCTCTGTTAACCAGATAAATTGGAAAACCTGTTAAAACACATCTATAAATATAACCAATTGTCATTAGCGGCTTACTGCATTTGGGATTTAAGCTAAAAGCTTAAGGAAAAGTGCTGTGAGTTCTCTGAATTATCCGCGCTGAGACAAATGGAAGTAAATGACAATTGGAATTTTATTTAATTAATTAACCGTGATTGCTGCTTGGATTTTGATGCCATGTACTATGCCATAATCAAGTTAAAAATAAAGCATAATATCACGAAGTCAGAGACAAATTAATACGAGTATATTTGTTTATACAAATTGATAAATGCACTTCACATCACATGCAGAGGGAATAACAAAACAATAAACCAAAAAAGAAGGAAGCGATACAAGTAATAAAGACAAATAGTTGCCACTAGTAGAATAATTGACAAAGAATGCGGCGCGGCATTTAGATGAATGGAAATGCTTTTGATAAACCCCCAGACACATCAGACGATTCTCTGTCCCCGGTCAATGGTTGATTTATTAAGGCATCAACATCAACATATCAAATGGAATAAAGACAGAGACGATGCTGCCTGCTGCCTGCCTGCCATTCAGCAGCACAATCAAATTAAGGCGAAATAAAAACAATGCCAAACGCATTCAACTCTTTTAATTTAAGTTTTTTGCGGTCCATATAAAGTCTTTAATGACCCAACGCCAGAGAGCGTCGTGATTTATGACCAGAAATTAGTTGACGATTTTTTTTCATTTATTTTTTGTTGTTGTTGTATTTTTTATTGAGGGCCGCCACACAATGGGACTCACAATCGTAATCGTATATTGTCCCTTCCCGTTTTCAGGGCAATTGGCAATACTTAGCAAATCGCCAACACGTGCCACATGGAGTTACAAATTGTGAGTTTGTGTCACGGAAGAAGGTCAGAGCCGCCGATAGATCATGGCTAAAATTAAACATTTCTGCCATCGAACCACAATGAAGGAGAGCCCACCATATATTGAATGAATTTAACTTTTTTTTTGTTACCTCGCAGCAGTCTAGAGGGTATGTTTTTTTTGGTTTGGGCTACAGTTTCGATAGCAAATATTATCCACAATAGGAAAAAAACTCAGGGTATGCAGAAGTCGCTATAATTATTATATATAATGGTTTTACGGATAACTTGATAATTATCTGATTTTAAGCCAGCAAACGTAGTCACTGTACTATAAATACGTTCTAAGGTGTGAGTGGTGTTGGCTACTGGATAACCGGATAAGTTGTTTGGAGATTTGTTCAATCAGATCTGCGGATACACCATGGATAAAACGTACATAGTTTTAGGAGATATTCTACGACCTTTTCAGTTTCAGAATGAATTAATAAATAAAGAGATAAATGTAATAACCTACGGCTATGGTTTAAGGAAAGGTTCAATGACTTTGTTTGATTTCCTTTCAATCAAAACATTCAGCCAAAGACTACTCAAACAGGGTATCAATAGTTCGCATATGCAGTTAATGCCACACGAAATGCCACTGCCTGGAGGCAATGTGCTCAATAAATATGTTATAAATGTGACAATTTGTTGGGTTATTTATGACTTTATTATATGCAAATTGAGACAAATGTTCAATCTGCTCGTACAGCATGTGTACTCGATACTCCGCAATCGCATACACACCCCGATACACCCGCTACACCCGATACTCTGTGGATGCTTGGATGCCTGAGTTCGTGTTTACAGCACTCGCTTTGACATTTTAATGCTTTGTTATTATTATTTTTGAATAAAAATAAATAAATGCAATACACGCGCCTTACTGGATGGCTGTATGGGTGTGTGTGTGTGTATAAGCAGCGAAAGAAACAAATGACAAAACCTCATACAAAGATCAAGTTCAATGAATTTTCACACAGCCCCAAAAGAGAGAACTGAACCGAACCGGGGAATGGTAATTTCATTTAATTGAATATATATTTTTCTGTGTCGTTGCTGTTTTTGAGCGCGCGCGGGCAAAATAAATATAAATATATCAATTTTAAAATAACGATGACAAAATCCCTCAAAGAAACGACGAGAGAGAGCAACGCAACCAAATGGAACGGATCAGAGTGAGGCCCTGTCCCGATCCGATGATGGTGTCGAGGCGTGGCAGATCGTGAGACGATAAATCACAGAAAATGTCTGAAGTTCAATAGAACTTATGGGATAATGACCATTAAATTATAAATAAAGGTTTCCCATCGAAAAGAACATCTTAATTCCCGGATAAATTAACCAAATTTACCAATAAATAAACTTCATGTCGAAGGGTAAGTTGATTAATGGCATCAAGACCTTATGTATAAGGTCACTAGCCCACATTTTCCGGCATATGCAATACATTTTCCAGGGGCCCATCAATTGAATCAAAACCATCCCATAAATATTTACACGATTCCCCCCCTGGAGCATATACAACCGGGAATTCCTTTTTGGCGGCGGTGACCTTGGTTAATCTCAAAGAGATTGACCAACGCGTAAAGATCTGAACAGCACTGCAGACAGGGAATGATAAATGGATAAAACTATAAATCGAACTTTTATTTATCTTGCTCCAATATTTGAAGGCTTTCCTATGCAAATATTAACAGAACAAATTAAAACATTATTTGGGTTATTTCTTGTCCTTGAAGCTTAAATTCTTATTCAGGAAAAGTTATTTGGTGTTTACTTAGGTAGAAAAAAGATTTATGACCCTTTTCCACTGGGGAATGCTGCCAATTAATTTGCTTCGTTGTACAAAGTTCCCCATAAGTGAAGGGATACATTCGTTGCAGTGCACCCAAAGTAATATGCGAGTGTTGGGAGATCTATTTGGGTTCCCTTTCTCTTTCTCAACATTATAGTCCTTCTACTTTTTTTTTGGAGCAATTTTTAAAGAGCTCTCAGGGCGGATAACCCCGCGTCTTTTGTTGTTGTTAGTCCGTTAGTAAAAGTCATAACCAAAATATAATGGAAATCAAAAGAAAACAAAGAAAAAACATACCCAAAAAACATTTGCGTGATCTGCGCGGGCGTCTGACACACATTGTGGACATTGAGGGTGCGGGGGCGGGCATAGAGCATGCCGGGTGTCGTCTGCGTGCAGTGGCCCCCAAATGGCGGCAGACCCGCTCCGGCCAATATTGCGGATGTCGAATTGCTGCGAATGGTGGTGTAGGCCCGATAGTGCGAGCTGGCCGAAGATCGCAGCTCCACCGAAGTTGTGGTTGTGGTCTCTTCGGTTTCGGTCTCCGCCTCCTCCTCCTCCTCGTCGTCCTCATTCTCATGTTTATCGGGCACCAGAGACGCTTGAATGTGGCCCTCATCCAGCATCAGCATTTGGTGGTGCCTTGTAAGTGCCACTGATGGTGCTGGCACGGTGGGTGGTGTGGCGGGTGGCATGGCGGCCTTTGTTGCTGTTCGCAATTTAATGATGCCGTTGCTGTTGTTGTTCAATTTCTTGGCTCTCTTATTGTTTGTGTTGTTACCGTGATTGTTGTTGTTGTTGTTGTTTATGATGTTGTTGTTATTGTTGTTGTTGATGTTAGTGTTGGTGTTATTGTTGTTGTTATTTGCTATGGTCTGCGTTTTTGTTGTTGTGGCTGGATTGGGGTTATAACGATGTTGCAAGCGCATTTTGGTTGAATTTTTTCTGTGTGTTTCTTGTCGAGTGAAAGAGATTTGATTGTTGTTTTTATCCGTTGTTATCCGCTGGAATTTGTATTGATTTTGTTCATTGATTTGTCATTTGTTTTGTAGTTTTATCTGTTGGCTTTTTTTCTATGCTTTTCGGCATTGATTTGTCCTATTTAAGCATTGATTCAATTAAATAGTTGATTGTAGTTTTATCCGTGATTATTCGCTGTCTACCTTTATCCGTGATTCAAATGAAATATGTGATTATAGTTGTATACGTGATTATCCGTTGGCGTCTATTTTGTTTTCAATTCATTTAACATCGATTTAAGTCATAGAGTAGATTGTCGTTTTATCCGTTGTTATCCGCTGGCATTTGCTATGCTTTTCTGCATTGATTTCGTCTACTTTTAGCATCGATTGGTTGTCCTCTCAGTCCCATGTCAATTAGCATAACTTGTCCGCTCTCGCCGGCAACGACATTTCTCGTGGGGGGACAGCGTCGCACTTTCACTTTCAACTGAAGAATTTATGTGGAATGGAAAATAAACAATGTTCAAAAAACTGATATAGAAAGCAAACAAAAGCAAAACAAAACAAAAAATAACAAAAGCAAATAAATATAATTCAAATGCAGCAGAAAATTATAGTGTGTGTGTGTGTGTGTGTGTATGTCGTTTGGATCGTGTGGATATATAAATCGTGAGATTTTATTTCTCCCCAGCTATTTTTTGTTGCATGTTATTTAGCACTTTTACAGGTGTATGTATGGATGTGGGATTTATTGTTTTTGTTTTGTCTATGTCTCGACTTTCTGTTAATTTTGCACAAAAAATTAATTTGATTTGATATTTGTTTTGTTGGATTTTCTCTCGAGCTGCTGCGAGCGCGGGGAAAGCTCTAAGGAGACGGACAGATTTTTGTGTGTGTGTGTGAGTGTGCGTGTGTGTGTGTATACGCGTTTTGTTTTATAAATTTAGAAATGATTTTATGCCACACACAAAGACACCAACAAAACACGGGAGGTAGCAAACCGGAGCGTAGCGCAGAGAAACGGAACGGAAGTCGGTGAATTTTCGTAAATATCGAAAGAGAACTCACATAGAGACACTCGCACACAGGCAACCGACAGGCGTTGTTCGTTCATTCATGCACCTTCTATCAGATACACATTCATGCAACACACGCAGCACACGCCTCGTATCTCGTATACGCAATTTATTACGTTGTGAACGCGTCGAACCAACGCAAGCGAATGAGGCGCGCAGCTCCACGAAGCCCACAGAAGTACTTCAAACATTGATCGCTGCCTTCCTCTGTGGGGGAAGAGCACGAGAGAGCGACGAGCCCCAAAGAGCGGGAGAGAGAGAGCAAAAAAAAGCGAGAGACAAATGTCGTGTGGGGCTCTCTTGGGCAGCATGGTTTTTGCCGTTCAAAACAAACATTCAATCAAAAAGAAGTGCGCATTGTTTCGATTTATAGATACCCCTTTACTATCCAGATCTATCCACGCAATATATTTTTTTTTATTTTAATTCAAGGTATCTCAGATGCCTTCTATGTGTAAATTTCCCATAAACAAACAGACATAGATTCTTTTCGACTGAATATACCCTCCTTAAACTGTACGAATTCCGAGGTATACCAAAATTTTGACCAGCTTTGGAAGCTGAAGGAACAACAACAACAACAGAAACAGCAAGACACAAGTCCACGCGTGGGCTACTCTCGATTGTTGAACACTGTTTTTGGGAACAGGGAAACCAACCAAATTAATTCACACAACCACCAATCGAATTGGGGGGGCACACGCACACGCACACAAATTCATAAAAGTTATACAAATAATAATTTGATCAGAAATCGTTAAGAGCTTAAAATCCCATCGAGTGTGTGGGGGTATAATTAAATTGCACATATTAGGGATTACTAATTGCATTTCACATTATGATTATTGTATTCACAACCAAATGTTGTTAACGTTTAAGCAAAATAACAAAATCAATTTATCTTTATTAAAGATTTTAATATTTATATTAAGTGGAAACACTTTTATGAATATTTATTTTTATTTATTATTTTGATTCTAAACAAGTTTATCTTTAGATCAAATATTCCATTACAAAAAAAGTGTCTCATTCGCTACCATTGTTCCTGGGGGGGCTTTCTCTTTAATGTGGGTCTCCCCCTTTCTTTTATTTTTGGCATAAAATGAGGAAAATCATATACAAATATTGAAAACGTTCCAGCTGTAAGGAATTTTTGTTCCACAAAGCCTGCTCTTAATCCCATATGCATGACTCTTGGTGGCGCCATTTACCGATCTCCCAATAATTACTAATTACTGCACATTACTCATGGCCACAAAAAATGTGAACTTAGATAGTAGTTTGACCAATAATGGCCGTGGCTCTGAGTAACAATTGGAAATGTGGGAATAAGGGGGGGTCCCTTCGGGACACAGATAAGTGCCACGATAAGCGACTCAATGGGTCCACCGCCCCCGTAGGTTGCACCCAAAATAGGGATAACAGGTAAATTTGTTATTTCCGTTTCGTTTCGTTCCTTCTATTTATTATTTTTTGTGCGACTGTCAACAGCTGTTTGTGGGCGTGCTGAAGACAATCTGCCAAATAGATGAGAATGTATATATGAATAAATCTGACTATATCTTTTGCCCCGCTCGCAAAATTTATTGATGCCGCCTCAAAAAGAGATTATGAGCGCGTGTAGGTGAACAACAACAACAACAAAATATAGATGTATACATTTTTGGAGGGGAAGCAAATATGTTTAGAAAAATATAATAAAAAGAGGGCGTTGCTACAAATTATAATGTGTGTCAGGGTTTGCTCTTGGCACTTGTTTCGCTTTTTGCCACCGCGAATGCGAAAGTTCAAAAAGATTTTTGCGCACATGTCCAAGACGTTTCGGTCGGTCGCTTGTTTCGATCTGCTGCCAAAAATACTCAAATGTTTAGAGCACTACACAACACTAATACTACTACTACTTCTACTGCTACGAGGGGGAGAGGAGATGCTGTCATAGGCGCGCCTTTTATGAGCATTTCGCGATGATGATGCCATGTGGGCTGCTGCTGGGTTATCTCGGGTTATATTGTGGCTATAAATCCATCTAAGCCTAATTAATTGCTGGCCACGAGCACCAGCTCGCGGACAAGGTGAAAACATTGAGGTTCACATGATTTGTGGTTCCGGATAATCACGGATAACAATGTGCTGTGTGTGTAATGTCAAGATCACAATGGGAAGAGCGTCAAATTATTCCTGGGTCAACGATTCGACAATGCAAGGGAGTAAAAAAAAAACGCTTAGAATTTTAAGCTTGGATAATGTGAATAATAATAAATTTGAGCTCATTTTTCATTTGAATAACAACAAAAGATTGTAATAAGCCCTCGGATAAGCACTAATCAGTGCTTAAGTAATGCCGGATAAAACAAAAGTTACTTGATGACAGTTTTATCTGTTTAATATATATTATGTGTCGCCTTACAGACAAAACACATTAAAAATAATGCAAATATGTCCAGGGTTCCTGGAATTCCATTACGTTGAATTTTATCAAAAGACAGTAGCGGATAACTGGAATCGCTTGAGCAAGTCTAAACAAGTATTTGGATAATATATAAGTGACGGATAATGTAGCGCATATGTCAAAGCCATATTAGAGTTCAATGGACAATAAGAGATAAGTGTACCGATAGCATTAAACGAACAAATGAACAAAAAGAGACACTCGGATAAGAGCGGATAACACTCGAAGCCCAACATTACCTATGGACAGACCCCGTGTGCGAATATTCGAATACCTAAAGCACAGAATCATGTTGTCTAAATGGAAATAATTGCTACAAAACAATGTTTTCGATTAGTCCGTTGCTTATCCCTCCAACCTCCCTCCATCACCCATCAGAACCAAAAGTGTATCTAGAATTTACCTCACCCACATATTCGTACTCGTATGGCGATTACTTCTAGGGCGCAGCGGTTTGATTGGCAACTGATTGATTGATTGATTGATTGACAAATTGTTTGATTGTGTGCAAGAGACAGATCGAGAGAGAGAAAGAGCGGGTATTAATGGCACTGTTCTCTTTATTGGATGATAAGCAGCACTCGAAACACATATGTATATAATACATACAAACCATTCAATCAAGTATCCATCACACACTCATACCAAAGCCACACAAAAAGATAAGCAAATGCGTGGATAACAGAGCGTACACATACACTAGCATTCTATGCTTTGTTTTTATATGTATTAATGTGTGATATTTGCTTTAAAATACAAAAAAAAAAAAAAAAAAAAAAAACTTTATCGCACCGCAAACAAAAACGACCTTCAGTAATGATGGTTTTTTTTTTTGCTTTTTTTTTGTATTTGCTCAGCCACATTTATTTGTATGTCAGACAGAGCCGATTTCTTATTGCCAATTTGCCATTTTACTCGTATATTTTCAAAAACATTTTCCATTTCCGTTTTTCTCTGGCCAAAATTGTTTTTGTTTCTGCACTGTTTATATTGGGGCATGACATTGTTGATTTTACATTGATGGTGATTTATGCCACAATTGTTTTGGTGTTGTGTTTTCCATGGCACGCGTACAACTTCTCTTACGCTGTTTACGATACATTCCACGGCTTCTACCTTCTACTGAATTAACGGGGGGACTGGGCGGGCGCTCGTTTACCGCCAAAATGAACGCAGAAACACAAAAGCTCTTTTCCCACACCCACCACACTCTCTCAACTTAATTGTCGCTATCTGGCTAATACTCTCCCTCCCACCCACCACATCTATCTCTTTGTTTTAGCACTCTTCTGGCTACAGTACGAGAACAAGCGTAAGGAGACCTACGGTAGGAAGTGACACTAGTGTAATACCCTAGCCTGATATATCCACATACAGTTTTGGTATTAATTAATTATATTAAAAAATTATTAATTATATTAAGAGTTAATTCCCTGAGCACTGTCATTTGTTAAGTAAATAGCCTCAACATGTCGAAGATACCTGCCCTCATGCAGGGTATGGTCAACAATGAGACAGACAGACAGACGGCTGCTGCAGTTGCTGCTTCTTCGAAATCGCTGCTTTTCGACAATTTTTATTTTATTTGTTAATAAACACGCGCATTGTTATTTCCCTGCCCACGCCCCGCCCCACACCCTAGCGACCGTGTTGATGTTTATTAATTTTGTGGTTTGTTTTTGTTATTGCTCACCATTGTTATTGCTAAAAATTTATCAATGTGTTACATCTTTCATTGCATTGCATTGCCGTTTCCGCCTTCACCATAATTAAGTGCATTAACTTAATAATTGTCCGAGTGTCACAACAATAAGAACAACGACAGTAAAGTGGATGATCGAGTGATACATGAAAAACGCTTACAGAAATACTTATAGGAAATATACAGAACTACAGTGGACAGACATGGGACGTTGGAAAGTCGTTTTGAGCGTTCAAGGCAGATGTTCGAATATGACAAAAAGCGGTAGGATGTTATAATAATTGATTATAATTATAATGGATTAGCGGGGGTCTCCACACTGCGGCCCAGAGGACCTTTGAGAGTATTGGACGGACAGAGGACTTTCATTTATCCATCTACCATCATAATTCTTAACCACTAAAAGGTCAAGGACGCTTGACTGACCGCACTACACGTACAGCTAAGAAAAAAAAAACCGTTTGTACTCGTATTTTCTTACCTTCCCGCAACATGTGCTCTGCTCTCAATGGCAGCCGCAGCTTCACGTTTGTTTGAAGAGCGCAAAGAAGTGGGTGAGAGGGGGGGAGGGCAGCACGCGTTGAAATACAATTTGAATGCGAAGCCAGCCCCAAGGCTGCCCCAAAACTAGCGGTAAAGCGAAATTAACCTTCGCTTCAAGCAAATACACACACACACACACACACATGTACGAGTTTAAAGTAAACTTTTCCAACAAAAAAAAAAGTTTCTGCTGCTTTGGCAAAACGAAATGCAAAAGAAATCCAACTAACGGACTAAAAAGCTTAGGTCATTGACCAAAAAAAGAATAAACCAAAAGAGAGAGAGAGTGCGACGTAGACGCGACTCTCTTAAGCTCTCGAGCACGTTTTCCGAGAAACAACAACAAACAGCAACGACGCCACTTTTATGACTGTGTGTGTGGGAGCGCGACACAAGTAAAGTATATGAAATGTGGGGTGAAGCTTTGCCGCTCTTCCTCTCTCTCTCACT